ACTCTCTCCATCTGCTTCCCCTATAATGACAGTGGGACTGGAGAGCAGCCATTTTTCACAAAGTGGTTCTACCTCCGGCCACAGCTCAGGGGTGGGCACTGATCCAACCTGGACCCATAAGAGCCCTTCCATAAGAATTTCGATTTTGGGGCTTAGCGAGTCTGTCTGTTATCTCTAGATTGCTGAATTATCAAAGCTGTTAGATGGAGAACCTAGTGCCCCTGAGGCCCATGTTAGCCACTATGTGAAGAAACTATTCCTGAATGCAAGCTTCTACTGCTCACTGCATGACAGACCAATAAACTGAGAGATGGGTTGTTGGGGCAAAGAAAAGTGACTTTATTCAGAAAGCTAGCAGAGAGAGAAGATGGTGGTCTAGTGTCCCAAACAACCATCTTACGTGAGTTAGAACTCAGGCTCCTTGTATACTGAAAGGGGACTGGGTGTGGATCATTGTTGCAGACTTCTTGGCCTGGAATCCTTTGTTCTTTCAGCTGTCCACATAGGTCTAGTCACAATCTTCCCATAAACTTCCAACAAGACAACTGTTATTTTCTGTCTGCAACTTTTTATCTCTATGTGAATGGGAAAGTGTTACACCTTTAAAGGTCAGAGCCTTGAGAATAGGCCATCATGTATATTTCAGGTTATGGGCAACTTTCTTTTACAAAAGGTGCAGAGCCAGCATGATTCAGCACAGGCAACAGAGCACAAGGGTTAGAACCAAAGGAACAGATCCAATATGGAGTCAGGTTTGTTCTTCTCTGTTACAAAACCTGGTTGAGTGAGAAAGAAAGAAGCCAATGTTCAGAGGGAAATGGAGATAGGAGACAGAGATAGTCCTGATGGCCATCAGATACCTAGCTCCATTTGTTCCTGAGATCTAGCTGCCTTCCCATGGCCAAGCTATTCCACCCTTCTTTGGAAACCAGTAGGTATTCACCCCACATTTTGCTGGCTGGTGTGAGTTTCTTGTCACTTGCACCAAAGAGCCCTGAGTAGCCTGCTAGACCAGCTCCTTCATTTCACAGACAAAGAAACAGATTCTGAGAAGAACTCTGACTTCCGTAAGTCGGCCAGGTTAGTGAGTAGCTAACTGGAATTAAACCCTCAAGTCTCCTAATTGTAGCTCCCATGTGTGTCTGCACAGCTGCTGCAATTGTGGTGCTCTGTGTCATTTTCAACGCCTGGTGATTTCCAATGTCCTCAGTTGGAGAGAAATGCCTCCATCCCTCCCCCTATCACAAAACAAAGGGGAAAAGGTAAAAATATATCATCAAAACATAACTGGAGACCTGGGACCTGGGGGCGTTGGCACAGGAAATTGAGAATGAGAGGAACAAAATCAGACTTGCTGGAGGTGAAAACTAAAATGACACCACACTATCTGTGGCTGAACTCACACAAGGAAGACTGGATCAAGGGCAGTCTTCACCTCCTCTCAAAACGCTCACGCAGGATTCAGATTAAACTGAGATAACAGATCTCCTCCGAGGCAAAGATAAAGGAAGATCAGAGACCCACTCCAAGTGTTGACTGCCTGTGGGTCCCCAAGCCTTCCAAACTTCTGAGATCACCCTTACCTCTAATCTAAAATAGGATGGCATGAAGGGGGAGGCCCAGATGCCCCTTCTGCTGAGTTGCACGATTCCTCGCCAGCCCCCTGATCTTGCAGCTGACAATTTCCTCTTGTTCCCTCACCCGACCCTAGACACAACCCTACATCCTGCCTCCCACGTGCCAAGCACAACTGACAAAGTTGTGTGTATGTGGCTTTCCCTGAAGGTTTGGGGTAACAGTGGGGTTACCCTGTTAATAGGCCCTGACAGCTCTGAGAGAGTTTTGTTTCCCCCTGGGCCACATGCTATGTGAGGGTAACAGGCTGGTCACTGCTAAATGGATGACTCAGTAGCCTGAATGGAAATGTGTAGCAAGATGATGTGTCTGTGGCCAAGCAAGAACTTGCCTTCACAGTGTTAGTTAGATCCCAGTGACCTGCCCTACTGAAAGCTGGCATTACAACCCCAGGAGGCAATTATTCAGGAAAGAAGTGGCAATTATTCAGGAGACAAGTTGTTTGGTGAGACCCCATTAGAGCTACTAAGGACAAGGCAGATCTGTACCCAGGACAGACAGAATCCCTTGGCCACCACTCCAGGAACCCAGCGGGATCCAAGAAGCCACAACGGCTGACACCTCCTTGCTCATCATCCCCTGGTACCCTCTGAGCCTCTCACAGTCAGTTGGTACTTCAGTGGCTTCCCAGGGCAGCAGGCAACTTCTAGGCAGCTCCCAACCCCACACTCTGCAGAATCTGTCCAGAGAGTCACATCTCACATGAGTACATGGTGTGTATCAGTCACCCCTGACCTCAATCCTAGAGCCCTCCCACCTAAGGAACACCTCACCTGGCCTCTCCCTAGGCCCTGCCTGGGCTGGGCTTCTCTTCCTCTCCTTGTGTTCCCAACAGAACCCCCAAACTCCAACCCACAGCCCCTCTGAAGATGATTTTAGCTCCTTCTATCCGAGACGTTCCATTCCTTGGCGGACTTGCCTTCCACAAGAAAACAGGTTCATCAAGGTGCTTTTCTAATCCAAAGAGTAATAATCATTTCTTTAAAGGCAATTCTGCCTGATTCTGGACCAACACGTGCAATTCAGAAACCCTAACAAAGATTTTTAAATAACGAAAGGTGCCCTCCCCTTGCATCTCCACAACATCAATTGGGTCCATGTGTAGGGTCATTCTACTTCCCACACCCCAAACTGGGACATATATTCTGATAATTACACAGAATCTTTGAGATCAGAACAATCCTAGAAAGTCTAGGATGTACTGTCATCAAATCTGTTTTCCGTGTATCTACGACTCACACCCAGAATGGTAATAGATCTATTCCTTGACTCTCCTTTGCTGGGGAAACCTGAGGGATCCCAGAGTAGTCAGAGTCTCAGGCACAGGAGAACACCTTGGGGAGCCTTCAGAATCCCAGGAATGAGCCATGAGAATCAGCTGGGTTTAATTTCAGTGGTTCCTAGGGGTCCCTCAGAACTCCTCAGTGACAACTATCTGTTCCCAA